AAAGTTTTTTGGGTGTTCGTTAGACGTTGCTATACTCAGCTCGACGAGCTCTATCGATTGGCTAACTCAGATTTTAATTTGGGGGTGTTCGTGGCTGTTCGTAGCTGTTCGTGGGTGTTCGCGTGTTTTAGCAATACCCAAATTTTTACTGTTACTGCACACAGTGTTCCTTTAGAACAAAAAAAATCATAACTTTTGACAGAAGTAATAGGGGCCCAAATCCTTTTAGAATTTTTATCAGTTCACTTTCCTCTATTAACTAGTGTAATATCATTAAAAACCGAGTTGGACACCTGAAAACCTTTCCTCGTTAATGTCCTTGGGTCCCCTTTTCATAGGGGGACCCAAGGATCGGAAGATCTTTCCTTGTGACGACATTATTTAGACTGTGAACTACACTCTGATCTTGAGTTAATTTCTAGTTTATGGAAAATTGACCCAAAATTCGCAGAGGAGTTTTTCAGTTTAGAGAAATTCCTCGAGGAATCTTCGTCTTTATAGAAATTCCATTTGAATTTCTCAGAAGCATGAGGGTCGGGGTCAATCCCAACACAACCTGATCGCGCCGCCACTCGGTGTAGACTCGCCAAGGCATTTCCAGTTTATAGAAAATCAAAAAGGAACTTCTAAACTGCAAATTCCTTGGCAAATTTCCATCAGTTTAAAAATTATTTATGGAAATTCGAGGAGGACTTTCCCAGATTCTTAGAAATTATTTATGGAAATTCAACGACGATTTTCTAGATTGTTGAAAATTCGATTTTCTATAAACTGGAAAATCCTGGAGGAATTTCTATAGGTATTCTTTGAAATTCGCCGAGCATTTTCCATGAATAAGTTCCAACCTTACAGTGTAGTGTTATGGGATAATACGTTTTTTTTAGCAGTTGTACCGTATAAAATTGTTTCATCGTTCTATTTTAGCAACGTTTCGAAACAAGAAAGAGTTAGAGTTAATCGAGGATGACTTTAATCGACTAGTGGACAAGGATTTAAATTTTATTTTGAGACAAAAATATGATCAATATTTACCATCGACTATTAAACAACTGAAGTTACAAGATCAATTAATTGAAAAATTTGACATAATTCTCAAAGTGATACAAGATGAACTAAAAGTATTAAAACATCAGAATACCGATTATTTTCAAGAAATGAAACATTTTCTTGTGGCAAATAAACAAACGGTTACTGGTAAACCGCACGATTATATTCAAAAAATTGTGTACACAAATTTAGATATAACAGAAAGACAAAACAAAAGATTTCTTCAACAAATTAAAGATTTATCAAGTGTGATTGAATTGATTGACAAGGTAAGGATATGCCGTGGTAGTATATCACTTAGATATTGTAGAAATTCTCTTTTTTTTTTGTTTTCTTCGCTAGATAACAGCGTCTCGAACGAAGTCGATGCCGTTGACAGCTGATCAAGAAGCTCAACTTGAATTTTTACAAAATAAATATGATCATTTTTATGGTATTGTTCAGAATAGTATTAATGCTGAAATATTAGAAGAAATTGATAGTATACCAGTTGAAAATCGAAAAGAAAAATTCAGTCGAATTCAACCAATATTGACACATTTGGAGAAAAATATTGAAAATAATTTGATTAAATTGGAAAAAGAAAAATATGAATTAGAAAAAAAAATAGAAATAATTACGAGAAAAGATGAACAAAAGCAAGTACTAACAATTGACTCACAAACAACATTAGGAAAGGTATGAGAACACGACTATCATCCGAGAAAAAATCAAGTTTTGAGCGAGGTGGACGAAAAATATATATTTTTGAAGAAATATCCTAAATTTATTATTAGCATTAAGAATTAATCTCGACGATCTAGATAAACTTTTTCTGAATCAAATACAACTGCTGGATATTCTTGGTGACCATTGTCTCATGCGGTTCCCTACAAAAAAATATTTTATCGGCACTGGTTGTGCACGGGTGTGCACCGGTGCCCAATAATTTTTTTTCTGGGCACCGGTGCCAGAAAGAATGTAATAATCTCGCACCGGTGCGCACCATTGCCAAAAAGAACGAAAAATCTCGCACACCAGTGCCGAAGTTTTGTTTTCAGTCACCATTTTGTTTTGTCAATTTCTGTCTATATTAACGCTACAGTCTACTTCTAATATTTCGAATGTCTTTCTGACTTCATCTTTTCCTTCGGCAATGGTGCGCACGGGTGCCAATCGGCACTGGTTCGGTACTTGTTGGGCACGGGCGCGCACCGGTGCCAACCAGTGCCAGTGACCGATGGCATGCCATGCGCACCGGTGCGCACTGGAATTTTTTTTATAGGGTTGTTTACAGTACTATAGCTAGTGAGAAAAGTGTCCGTACGATGGAGAGAAAAAACTTATAAAGTCATTATCTGATGAAGAATGAAAGATAGAAAAAGGTTTTTTACCACTCAATAGCTTTTAGTTTCAACTTTATTTCTTATTAATAGAAAATTCTTATAGTCTGGAATACACAATGAAACAAAGAAATTATTAAAAATAATTATGACTGATGGCACGTTTGCTTCTAGTTAATCAGTCCAGTTTCTCAGAAAAAATGTTTTTTGTCTATCTAAAACTCATCAAAAGATAATTTTAAAGCAATTTGATAGCGCTTGAAAAACTAGATATATGTATTGGAGTTTGATTAAATATAATTAGAAATATCATGTCGTTTAAAGTGATTTCTGCTCACTGATGGCATCATAAGTATCACTCTCTAATGTGTTTATTTTCAGTTTAATTCAAATGTAAACTTTTTCGAGGATAACAGGTTTGTAGAGAAAAAAATTCCCTACAAGATAAGCTATGATATGTTCAAAAAATATAATTTACAGCTGATGAGGTACACACTATTCTGTTTCAACCATACTATAGAACAATATTTTTACCTAATATCTACATAGACAGAAAGGAAAAACGAAAAGAGACAAATAACTTTGAGACTTAGGACTATCGAGTGGTAAAGAAAACATTTTCCTATCTTTCTTTCTTCAGGAGGTGATGATTTTACAAGTTTTTTGTCTCCATCGTACACTTTTTTCCACTAACCATACGGCTTGTCCACGTAATGTGACACTTCGATGATCAAGTTTTTTTTCAATTGCAGTCTTTTCAGAGAACATAGAACTCCACAGACTATAAGTATGAAGCTTTTTGAACAACGTTTAGTGCCTAAAAATGGTGCGACAAAAAAGTGTGTCTCAGCGTCACTTTACAAAATCGATTTTTCCAGGCGTGCGGAAGGGTTTGAAAAAAATTTGGCTCTGTCACGAATAAACTATCACTTGTTAATCATACTACATAATTTCAATGGAAGTGACCATATTGTGATGACCAACCATCATAAGTTGTGATTTTCCAAAAGTTTCAGTTATGTAGCTTTTTTATGGTTCAAAAAAACAACAAGACAAAGTAATTGGAGTTAAATTCCTTTAACTGGTACATTTGGCACATAGTTTGCTACATGCTAAGCAGCTTCTGGAATATAGATAGTATTTTATTTTGAGTTAACATCATTTTCATAAAGTACAACGATCTGTGAATAATAGAAAGATGAAGAAGAACATACCCTTACCCGCTAATAGGTGTTGGTTGGGTTAAGATTAAAAAATGGATTAAAATTTAACAAAAACTTTAAAGTTTATGTCTTCATTCGGATTTTTGAAAGTTCATCCTAATATACAATCAGTCATAGAAAGATAAACTATTAAGTTTGGTTAAAGTTATTGGCTACATTCTGTTCTTCGACTAGTCTTTACTGATGGTACTGAGTCACAGCAATTAGGAAACTGACTAGATGCGATTTAGGGGATCCAAATAGGCCTTAAGTCACCACAAAACAAAGGAAAACATAATCGGATCGATGAACCTATGGCCTGAGAGCACGTTGGGCATGAATATTATGAACATCGTTGGTAATCTTTGAACGATAAAATAAGAACAAAATAACACTAATTAGTTCATATAATAGAACACTAAAATTATGAGGATTCGCACCAACTTTTTACTTTTGAACTAAATTATAGAACTTTGTATCGCAATGGTACTCAATAAATCTCTCAACTGTAATAAACGTCGATACCTTTTTATATCTCAATAAAAAGGACTAAACATCACGTTGCCTAAAGCATTGATCCGATAGAAACATTCATCGAGTACTATCAAGATTTAATTACTTATCATGATGGATTCGGATTAATCGAGCTCATCATCAACAATTTCCTACCACGCTAGTTTATCGCAATAAAACTTTTGATCGATGCGAAAAACTTGGTAAAACATTGATGAAAAGATTGATAAATCGTGATTTATTGCTATAAAGTTACAAAAAAAAATCTATTTTCATTCTCTGTTCAACTAGGATGAATCAATTGAACTAAAATTGGCTACGATAAATGCTTATATTCAACAATCTAAATTGGAGAGTGCGAATGTTCGAGTCGAATATTTTGCTCAACAAATTCAGCAGTGTACCAATGAGCTGAAGTCATTGCTACTCAATCATCCATTAAGTGTATTCATAATACTATCACTTCAAAAAACGATTGATAGTCTCAGGTCCTATGAGCACCAACTACATCTCGCATTAACAAGACAAGATGAACAATTGAATGTTTTAAATAGAGATTTAAAAGAAAACCAAAATAACGACTATTTATTGGATGCCCTAGCTCGAGAAGAGTTAACACAGTTGCAAGATCAGCATACAACACTCAAACATCACCACAAAATGACTACAGATTTGACACAAATTATCACAAATACCAGGGTTGAAGTGCAAGCATTTTCTGATAGGCCGAAAGAAAAATCAGCACAAATGGGATACGAATTAATGAGGAATACTATTGAATGGAGTAAGCGGTAGCATAAACCATTTAAACTCATCTTAATTCAATCATATCACACTTCTTTATTTTAAGGCAGAAATGAAGCTGACGAAGATCAGAGTTTAGTGAATAAATTAATAAAAGACAAAGCTGTTGATATATCCAAACATGATGATCGAGAAATTAAACTCGTTCTTTCGAGTGGATCTGCTACTCAAGTTCAAATAGAATCAAAACTTGAAACTATTGAAACGGATTTTGACACTTTTCAAGTTCAAATGAAGAATACTGCACAATTCGACACTGATGTAACGAAGAAAACGTTGAAGCTCTACGATCTGCCTGAAACAGATCAAACTCGGCTATTCGAACCTGAAAGTAGACATATACATCAACAGTATATGGATGAAAAAACCATTGGCGATGTATCACAACAAATGACAACAGAGAAAACAACTAAAACAAAAATTGAATTGATTGATACAGGCAAACAACAATTGGGCATGACAAAATTCGAGGATAATCCAAAAGAAGAGATACCATTCAAAGAGGATATACTCGGTATAGAAAAAGAGCAGACAGGTACCTACTTTTACACATTTATTGTGAACAAATCATTTACTAGTGTGTGTTTCTGTTCAGACTTATCGTCTATTGTTTATTATTCGTCGGATCAAAAAGAGATTGAAGATCGTACATTAAAGTCGACAGAATACAACTGGGATACTGACGACCAGATGGAAGAACAAGAAATACATGATATTGTGAGTACTGGAAAAGAAACGCCGTTGCCAGAATCAACAACACCCAAATCCATAAACGAAATCACTTATTTAATGGCCGAAAATGCTATTCAAGCATTATCAGGAAAACAAAAATCCAATTTGTCGATAATGTCAAAAATAAATGCTGCAATGGACAAACTTAAAGATCGTCTCGATCAGTTGTCACAAGAAAAAACGATAACGAAACAATCAAGAGAAGAAAAAAAACAAATTGAAGTTCAAATAAAAGAATTGGAAACGACGAAAACAAGAAAAAGATTGTTTGATAATCGAGTAGTCAGATTTGTTGATGATATTCACGTACTAGGTGTGTTTTATGATCACCAAGAGCGAATTTTATGTATTGGCAACTACCATGAACCACCATATTTTTCCCTCTATAATGGAGCTTTCTTTAATGTCAATTTTTTAGAACTCTTTTATTTGTTTGACTTGAAGTTTGTTAATTGAGGGTCAATATAGAATGTTTGTTTAGGTAATCGATTGAATATGGCTCAAGATCGTGTAGAAGAAATTGAATTGCAACTGAATATTTTGGACAAAATAGCTGAAGTCGACAAAGAATTGATCGATCCAAAATTAGTTAAAGAGAAATTATACGATCACGAAACATTGCAATCATTACGTGCACAATTGCGAGCTGAGAAAAGCGTGCACGACGCCATTCAAAAAACAGACACAGAATCAAAAAAAACATCTCAGCAAAGCTCATCATTGATGATAAGCGAACGAACACAATTAATGATAAATCTTGGACCATCTAAAGTAGCAGAGGAGAGCAGCGAAATGGATCTACTAACACCGACTAAAATTGTGAAAATACAAAGAAAACCTGTATTATTCGAAAGATCTGAAGAAGAAGTGACATTGAATCGCATACAATTGCCAGAAACAGCGAAACTAGTTGAAAAATCAATAAATAAGACATCGATAACACTTAATGTAATATCGAGAGATGAAATACTAGAGGTAATAAGCCCTTTCAAACAATATGCTGGAAAAAATGATTAATAGTCCCTAGCAGTTAAAATTGTCAAGTGTTCTTGTAATCTTTTACAGAAAACAATTCCCTCTTTGCCGGGTGCAGAAGTTGATACGCTAGCGAAAGATGAAGAGCTGAGAGCATCATTAAAACTACATGAAGTTGATGAAGCTATACATAAAGTCGATGCTGATAAACAACTAGCCGATTTAGAAGATATGAAACAATCGTTAAAGGCTGTATTTGAAGAAGTTAAAAACGGACCTCTTGGTCAAACAATCACCAAAATTCAACAGAATGATGTGAAACAAAAACAAATGTCCGATGATGACAATCAAGGAGAAATTATAGAACCAAAAGTGAGTAGTTCCATTTTCTAAGGTAAAACTAAAATTTTTCTAATACATTTTATGTTTTGTTAACGAACCAAATATTTATATAACTTACAGACTTTCTTTTATCTGAATTCGCAATCAGACAAATCGTTTTGGGTATTGCTAAAAGACGCGAACACCCACGAACAGCTACAAACACCCACGAACACCCCCAAATTAAAATCTGAGTTAGCCAATCGATAGAGCTCGTCGAGCTGAGTATAGCAACGTCTAACGAACACCCAAAAAACTTTTTATAGTTTCGCTTTTTA